GTGCTGCACCAGTCCAGTGGGGGACGGACGGGATGGGGAAAGGGGGGTGGGGGAGGTGGGAGGGGTGCAGGAGGGATCAGATACATGTGTAGCTGTGTGTGCACTGCTCTGGCTGTAGGCTCAACGTGCAGCATGTGCTCTGGGGCCGGCATCCACCCTGGCTGCTGTGCGGGGTGAAGACGGCCCGGGTCCTCGCTCTTCGGAGGAGCTGCTTGGGGCCGGTCGCAACAGCGCCCGTTCCCTGCCCCTAACCCCTGGCCTCTCAACGCCGCCCCGCACCACCTCAGATCGGCAACGTGGCGGGCAACCCAACGCTCATGGGCGCCTTCAGCTCGATCACATCGCCCCTGGGCTGCGGCAGCCCCCTGTTCAACACTTTCATCAACAGCGTGGCCTGGTCGGCCGGCGACATTGCTCCAGGCCAGACGGTCTCGGTGCCCTTCCCTGGGTTTACGGCGGCGGCAGTCCCTGGGCTGACCGACATCTGGGTCGCCATCAACTACCTTGTGAGTCAGGGCGGGGCACGCGCCAAGCCGCATGTCAGCACTGTTCCTGATGCAGAGGGCAGGCGTGCGCGCCTTCAACACTCGCGTAGAAGGACTGCTGCACGCGGCACGATGAGTGCCCAGACATGCACACTGTTTGCTGGAACACCTGCCAGGTGTAGCCCCAGTGGGGCTGCATCTTGCCAATCTCAACATCTGTCTGAATTGGTGTGCCACGGACCTTCACAGCACGCCATCACAGACTCCTCTTGGTTCCCAACACCTCGCCTGCCTCTCCTCCCTGCTTCGCAGTGCGGTGTTGTGGAGCCGACTATTGCCAACAACCAGAAACTGCTGTCCTTCACCGTCTAGAAGTCCCATCCCAACGAGAAAAGAAGGCCATGCGTGGTCTTGCCATGGGCGGTTTCAACCGATGATCCACCTTGCTAGTGACCGACCTGCCTTTATCGCCCCTAGGAGGCCTGCCTGCCCGGGCGAATCGTTTGCTCCCGCCGCGCCGCGGGCCCGCACTGCATAGAGTTCGCCCGGCACTCCTGCTTACGTGGCGCTGCTTACGTGGCGCTGCTCGCTGCGGTGCACACCTCGCTTCTAGTTTGTGTGGCTTCAAGAGCCAACGCCTGCATCTACATCTGTCTGCCGCGAACTGCCAATGCGCTTCTGGGCCCTTTTGCGCCTGTGGCTCCCGGGCGCGCCGCATTGCAGGGATTGCTTCTGGCGTAAGCCGGGGCCGACGCTGCGCTGTTTTGACGCACCAGCGCCCCGACCGGCCCTTGCCACGTCGCGTGAATTGTGTTGAATACACCAGCATCACCCCGCACCACACCACACCGCAGCTGGATACCGCTCTTGGAATCTGCACATCGACGAAATTGCATGTTTTGCGTGATACACACGTCTGGTTTGGACGCACGCCCGCACTTCGCGCGCACGCACACCTCCGTGCGTGCCCTAGCACCCTCACAATGTGCCCGCGCGCGCGCACACCCTGGTGCTCAAATGCGCAGCCACGGCTGCGCGCCCGTGCAGCTGTACGCCCCCGGGCCGGCGCGCCTGCCTTGCACATGTCTTTGTGGCGGGGACCCCACAGCCGGCGCTGATAATGATGCCGACCAGCCACCCCAAAAAAAAGCTCTCGACGCTGTGGGCAGCTTCCACCGAGCGTGCTGCTTCCGAAGAATGTCTCAGATGTGTCCATAGCGGCGCCCCCTTGCTGACTTGTCACTGGCCATGGACCTCAAATCAGACGTGTAACAGTCAAGGCCGGAATTTGCTGTGCAGCCACACCCCAGTTAACAGACACTCGACCACGCCAACCACTGACTGCCAGGGACTCAACCCGGCCCGCTTGGAGCGCCTCTGGCCAGCTGGAAGCGCCACGTATGTTGGCACACTTGTGCGTGACACATCTGTTGTGTTACAGAGCACACGTGTGGTGCGATTCTGCAGCTTTCAAAGCGTGGCAGCATTCCGCTTGATGCGTGCATTGCCACCGGTGGGCAAGCCGGCACGCGAGGACTGCCTCGTGAATCACGCATATGCCGTTGCCTGCAGGCACGAGCATCGACCAGGGCGCAAAAGCTGCAGCGCCTGTAGTCGGGGCGCTGGAAAAGTTCGGCGTCTGCACAAACAACAGAAGCAGCGGGCTGGGGCTGCGGGCGGCCCGAGCCCTCCGCATACACCTACCCAACCCCGCAGGCCCGCCCATGCCGCCGGGCCGCCGCCAGCACCGCAGAACCAGCACCGGATGCCCGCAGGTCACGCGTCGTCGTCTTCGGCCGCGTCCTTGCGGTTGGCGGCCACCACGGCCTGCGCGCGGTACATGTCGGCCACCTGGGCGGCGGTTGTGGCGTCCTCTGGGCCCTTGTCGGTCCGGACGCGCAGCAGACGCGGGAACCTGGGGGACACAGGGAGGGGGTGGTGGCGGGTGTGTGCGGTTTGCGTCGTGTGGTGTGTGGGTTTTGTGGGGTGTGTGGGGTGTTGAAGGTGTGTGGTGTGGGTTTGGGGTTGCGTTTGTTGGGCGTGTGGGGTTTGTGGGAGGTGTGTAGGGCCTGAGGACGCCGTCCTCAACAAAGGGATCTGCCAGATCAGAATTTCCGCCATTCTCCCCCGCACGTGGTCCCAAGGGACCATCACCCAAACCTGCTGCTAGCCGCCCTGTCGGCAGCGTGCGAGTGGCAGACCTCCCCAGACGGCGGGCCGACGAAGCAGGGCGGCCAATTTTGGAAGGGCATCCCAACCGCCACCTGCCTTTGACGACCAGGCACGCCTGCCCCGCCCCCTCCACCAAAAACGCACACACACCTGATAGAGATGCCCTTCCCCGGCTCCACCAGCCCCCGCGCCGCCTGGTGCACCGGGCTCACGCTCAGGTCGGCCGCCTTGACCTCCCACACCGCAACGGGGTCAAACCAAACGTCGGGCGCGCCGCCCTCGCCGTACTGCGGGGCAGGGGGAGCCCGCGAGCCCGCGGTGAGGTGATGGTGGGGTGAGATCGAGGGTTGGGGTTCTACGAGGGTTTGCCCAAAAATGTGGATCCGTTTGTGATCCACTGGGTAGCCAGCGCCGGGTTGAGACATTCCAGGGGATCCAAAGCGCTTCAGAACGCGGGTTTGCGGGGAAGGCAGCGGACTCAGGCGCGGGCGCCGCCGCTGTTGATGACGACGGGCGAGACGGCTGGGCGCTTTCCTGAATGGATCGGAAGTTGGGGGGAGGGGTGGGAGGAGGGGCCCCACCTGGTAGTATGGCCGCGGCGCGTCGAGTGCGTGGGGCCGTAGGGTGGCGTCCAGCTCAGCCAGGACCTCCTCGCTGAAGCCGGTGCCCAGCTTGGAGATGGTCTTTGGGGGGGGGGGAGGAGGGGTTTTAGGAGGGTAGTGTGGAGGGTTTGAGCATGATGTGTTGGAGGATTGGGGGAGGGGACGGGGAGATTGCACGCGGGAAAGCGGTGCTGAGGTGTCAGGGCTTGCAGGGGTTCGTGTGTGTATTGGGGAAGAGGGTCCGACCCAAAGTTTGGGCGGGAGCGATCACAGATCTGTGCATGCGCGCCTTTCGAGGGTTCAGGGGATGCTTTGGGGGGCGAGTCGCAACGGGTCGGGAACTCAGCCAAAGGGGTGGCCGCCGGTCCGCACGTGACCGCCACGAATCTGCCTCAGTGCAAAGCCCAAAACAACGCCGCGCGCGCGGCGGCGCAGCATCGCAGCGCGACCTTCCCAGCAGGCTGCAGGCGACGCCAGGCCACCACGTGCCGCGGCCCGGATGGATGCCCGACAGGCCGGTCGACCTGAACCCTGAACCCCCATGAGATCACAGCCGCCGGACCTGGTAAGACTCTGTGGCGTCGTCGTAGACTGCCAAGAGGTACGCGCCATACAACCCACTGCGCTTGCCCTTGCCTGGTTTGGGGGGATTCAATTGGTTGCGTTGTTGGTTTGTTGGTGCTTGTTGGGGTGTTGGTGGGGGAAAGAGCAGCTGTGCGAACGCGGCGCTGTTGGAAGCAGCGGGGGGTTGATGCGGGATCTTGGGGCGGGCGGCAGGACCAATGCCAGGCGGGGTCGCGCTGCGGCCTGCAATGCAGCCAACTCAACCCCCCCGTGGCTGAAGGCACCCCCCAACCCCATGAGGCCTGGGGGCCGCGCCACCGCGCACCCTTGACC